GCCACACGCCACGTGCCTGTCTCACCGTTGTTACACGGAGCTGACATTTTTCCCACCCATTATGTGTCAAGGCAGCCGATAATAGACCACCTCACCAATAAACCATATAAAAGCTCTATTGACCAGTCAAAGGAACAGCAACATCTCCAAATTCGCCGAGAAGAAATCGAAGGTCACCGAGAGGAGACAGGCATTCCGCAGTTACATCCACCGTCATCTCTCTCTCTCTCTCTCTCTCTCTCTCTCTCTCTCTCTCTCTCTCTCTCTCTCTCTCTCTCTCTCTCTCTCTCTCTCTCTCTCTCTCTCTCTCTCTCTTTCTCTCTCTCTCTCTCTCTCTCTCTCTCTCTCTCTTTCTCTCTCTCTCTCTCACTCTCTCTCTCTCACTCACTCACTCACTCACTCACTCACTCACTCACTCACTCACTCACTCACTCACTCACTCACTCACTCACTCACTCACTCACTCACTCACTCACTCACTCACTCTCTCTCTCTCTCTCTCTCTCTCTCTCTCTCTCTCTCTCTCTCTCTCTCTCTCTCTCTCTCCCTTACTCTGACAGGCACAGAGGACTCGACCCGCCCTCTTCGCCTGATTACCCATATTGTCCGTCAGGGACCCTATTAGGTGGCCGTCAAATGGAATCGATTCTGCCGACCGCACGGAGAGAGAGAGAGAGAGAGAGAGAGAGAGAGAGAGAGAGAGAGAGAGAGAGAGAGAGGAGAGAGAGAGAGAGAGAGGAGAGAGAGAGAGAGAGAGAGAGAGAGAGAGAGAGAAAGAGAGGGAGAGAGGGTGAGAAGCAGAGACATAGACTCGCAGAGACGATAAGGCAGATGAGACATGGTGGCTGGTGCCACATGGCCTCTGACGATGGTCTGATAAATTCGGCGAAACTCTCCACCAGTGGACGACCCGTCGCCATTTCCTCACGTGTGCTCACCAGATGAGAAGCGAAAAGAAGAGACTCAGCCCCTGTCCCTCTGAGGGAGATCCGGGGCCTCCTATTGCCCCTAGGTCTGACCAGTGTCGGATTTAATTAGAAGCCGGCCACCAGAAAATGAACCACGTCCAATTCGAGCAGCAACTGACGGACGAAAAATGACACTCGTTTTTCACGATTGGCTCGGCTGTTACGTCACTAGTCCGAGAGAGATAATCAGGTTAGTCACGGTGCTATATAGAACGTGGCTTCGCTTGCGTCCTGACCGCGATGACAGCAGAAATAGAACAATAGTGGCGCTCGTTAATATTCTGAGAGATAACCCGCGCCCCGCTGGGGGGGGGGGCAGAATCTGCCCCCCCTCCCGTTTTTCGCCAATAACTTCTAAACGCGTTACGCCAGCGACGTCAAACTTTCAGTACCTTATCATATATCAATTTGACACGTTCCCTGAAAATTTGAGCGAAATCCGTCGGAATTTGTTTGAGAAATTGACGTTTTAGTGACGTCATGTTCGCCATTTTCGCCTCAAAAACGGCAAAATTTCAAACGCCGCTAACATCTTCATTTTTAAAGGAATCAAGACGTAACAAAAAAGGTTATACGCGATTCTACTTTGTCTATTAAATGGCTATCTCAGTTTTTTGAAAATTTTGGATTTTGGCCAAAATTTTTCCAAAAAAATGACTTTTTTGGGAAAATATTTATAAAATCCAAAATTTTGAGTTTATCGAAAAAAAAACGGAATATATGTCAAAGAAGTGGTCTATGTGCACCTACATACCAATTTTTAGAAGAATCGGTTCAAAAATGTGGGAGTTATTCAATATTTTATGACGTCACGACACACAAAATTTTTGAAAAATGATTTTTTTGAAAGTTCTAGACCTCGTACGGAAACAAAAATAGCACCATTCGATTCGCCGTGAAAAACTGCATCGGATAGACACCTTTTTAGGCCTTAACAACCAACTTCAAAATTTGACCTCACTTGACCTGACCTTGACCTGACCTCGACCTGAAATTCATCCAGAGGTGGTCTATATCACTTATTGAGTGTGCCTATTGAATTCCATGAGTAAAATGACCCATAAAACATGTGTCGCACATGCCCTTTTCTATATTTTGTTTTTGGTGACCTGACCTGACCTGACCTGACCTTGACCTTGACCTTTGAATGACATTGTGTGCAACGAATATTGTCTTGGTAGTCTAAGAACACGTTTTGGGCAATCAGTCTCAGTCCATTCTTCGGCAACTACGGTGCAAGGCCGATACTGTAGAAACTTGCATTTTGTACCCTTGACCTGACCTTGACCTGACCTCTGACCTACTTAAGCAAAAAATTTTGGGCTCTTAAGATCCGCCTTGTTGAGAGCTTCGATTGCCGTTTTCCCCGTCTTTCTACGACCATCGGTTCGGAAGTTAGACAGGGGGGGCAGAATCTGCCCCCCCCCCCCAGCAGTGCGCGTATGGCTGAATAGCCCAGCGGGGCGCGGGATAAGGGCTGTGTGGGTTGATTTCGAAAGGGTGCCGAAATTCAGTTCGTTATCGGTGGCACGAGATGTTTCGTCGTCATTGCCTTCGATGCTTGGCGAGGTTTTGGTTGTCTATTCCGGGCACAAGCCTTAGGCAAGGCACGGCTGCTTGTCTGTTTTACCCAACACTTATTCCTTTTTGTTGTTACATAGAAAAGAAGCGCTATTTATAGAACGCCAATCTATTTCGCAGGTTTACTTCTCCTTTCCACCAGTACCGTCTCAATGTGTCCCATCCCCTTCCTCACAATGACGAGCCGCACAGGGCCACGCTCATGATCTAATCACTTCGACACTTGGCTACCTGCCTCTCACAATCCCTGACTTCTATGACTGTGACGGCAGAGCCGCGGTGTCTGTGATGTTATCTCGTAGCGCGTGCTCGCCTGAGAGGGCAACGCTCAGCGGTGTCGCGTTTCAAGCCACAACAATAGCTGTATGGGCCAACTCTGATATACCACCCACTATCTGGGTGACAATGCCCTGAGGCAGCGATCACCAGCGGCCACAGCAGTGACCCTGAGGTCACGGCGGGGGTCGCACGGGACGTCGATGACCCCAGTGACCAGTGGCAGGGGTCAGCCGGGTCACAATGGGGGGGGGGGGCGGGAGTAGGGGTCAGTTGGGGAGTGAGGAATGGTTATGGTAGAGGGGAGGAGAATCGTGACCCCTCTCTACCTGCCCGCGCCGTGACCCCGACTTTTATTGGCACTGACGAAAGACCGCCGAATGCGCGAGTGGAAAACAGCGGACCGGTTTGGAAGGCGAGGGAGAGAAATGCATAATGGAGCTGTTTGATTTCCATGAGAAACACCGTGGTGCTGTGGGTTTTTGGCTTATAAATACGCGTACCTTCAGTAGCTGAAGACTGGTATGAAGAGTGGCTTTTCTGACATGTTTGTTTGCTGTTTGTTGTGGTATCTATTTGGTTTATTTACTTATTATGCCAACTTATCAGGGATACTGATCAAGCCCTTCATGCCGACAGTTAATGCTGTTACTAAATGGCCAGTAAAGAAAACTGCTTGGTTTTTAATCCCCGAATTTTGTATGCATTAATCATCCACATGGTATTTTAAAATCAATTTGGGCTTCTGGTCTTTTTAACTCACCCACCTACCCGTTTAGTTTAAGATACAAACGAAAGCGTCCTTCAATGTAAGAGCCACCCAGCACCATTTTTCTTCCCAATGAGCTGCTGTTAAGCCCTGCTGAACAGGTGGCGTGTGGCCATACATTTGGTCGACACTTTCCTAATTAGTTCTCACTTCAGCTCCTCTTGAATTATGGTCTGGGGAGGGAGAGGGAGAAGGGAGGAGAGGGACGAAGAAGAGAGAGAGAGAGAGAGAGAGAGAGAGAGAGAGAGAGAGAGAGAGAGAGAGAGAGAGAGAGAGAGAGAGGAGAGGAGTGGGTAGGGGAACATGGGTGAAGTTGAAAGAAAGACTGGATAAGACGAGGTCGTATGGAATCGGAAGCATGGGGAGAAGGCAGAATCGTCCGAGATATTAATATCAAGCATCTATTTTATCAAGTTTTATTAATAAAATATAGTCAATGTATATAATTGATTTTATCGGGCACAAGCATTTGTGTTGTTTGGAGTAATATTCACATCAGTCCTCAACTAATCGAGTATTGTTTGACGCCGCATATAAAAAATACATCGAAAGTGAGAAGATGTAGATAGCGGCGAAGGGGAGCATAACAATGAATCGTATTTGATCAATTGTTATTGGATGCCGCCTATAAAGAATTGCATCTAAAGTGGGATGGCACGGAGCGTGATCATGAGAGGTTGATGGTGGGCAGTTTATCCACCGGATGGAGAAAGAATAGAGGCGGGAGTAGGGGCGGGTTGGGGGCGGGGTGAGCCAGGTTCGTGACCCAAGCGGTCAGCGTGCCACGGCGGCCTCACGTATCGGCATATTTATGGGAATGGCCACTCTGTTAGGTCATCCGACCGGTCGGCCGGCCTTGACACAACCGTGGCAGAGAAAACAGCGGGAGAGATGAGGGAGAGGGGTGGATAATCGGAGAGGAGTGAGGGAAAGGGTGGACATTGAGAAGCACGGAGATGCTTGTCCAGTAAACGTTTCTATTCGTTTTTACATGTTTACTCATGGTTTGATGTCTCATTTGGTGATAGGAGACTTCTACTAGTAATGCGTGCCAATGCAAGACAAAATGCATTTTCATATGTTCATAAACATTTTTGTGTGTGTGTGTCAAAGATGCGGCCTTCAGGCTAAGATATTTTTATATTTGTATCATGCGCGGACAAATTAGTTTTTATCTTGCAATTTTACGACTTGTTGCCTTCTTTTTAGCAACGTGTATTGAAAAGCAACATTTTGTTTGAATCGTAGTCCAGATATGCAGTGTAAAGTAAATCAGTGTTTAATGTTTCAAAATGCTTAGAATTATCAAGTGGGCGCAAATCTTCCGGTGGAAATAAACGCCAATGGAAGTCAAAACATCTCTCATCAACTCCTCTTATAAGCCCCTTATCCCGTTTGCTACTCACCGTTAGAAGCCTCATGCCGTCTGATTCGGCGCCGGTGAGCGCCGATACTCTCTCCTCACTCCTCTGCTCTCTCCTTTCGAGCTCCTCCTCTGTGCACGAGCCCCCTCTGTACGGCGCTACTCCGGCCAACACCACACCACGATAGACAGCGGCGGCCCGCGAACACCGGTAGATATAGTTACTTTCACTGACGCTGAGGGGGCGCAGGGGGAGGGGGCGTCTGCCGCCTGCGGCGAATGGGGAGGGGGACAGGGGTGACCAGAGGTGACCAGAGGTGACCAGAGGTGACCGGGGGTGACACAAGGTAGCAGTGGCGACCACCCTAGTAAGTGACCAACCTATAGGTGACGACAAGTGACAAAAGGTGAAGGTGTATGACCATGGGTGACCGTTTGTAATCATAGGTGACCATGAGTGACTATTGGTGACCGTGCGCGACTGTGTGAGTCCATTAGTGACCATTGGTGACTATGCGTGACCAACGGTAGCCAGAGTTATCAGGGATGACCATAGGTAACCCAAAGTGACCATGGGTGACCATGGGTGACCAAAGGTCGCGGCATCTGACCATAAGTGATGCCATGTTATGGTATGTGACTGCGAGCTACCATAGGTGACCAGAAGTGACCATAGGTGATAGTAGATGACGGTCATAGGTGACGAGAAGTTACTCAAGGTAGCAGAGATGACCATAGGTTACAACGGGCGAGTCGGCGACCATTTGTGATGTCAGGCGACCATAGGCCACCGCATGTGACCATAAGTGACCCGCGCTGACCATTGGGCCATTGAGCTAGGAAGCAGGGACACAATGCATCAACGAAACGCACGCTATGGTTTGCAATCATTTACCATCGCATTTCCTAGCTGATGATTTCCCCGTCAAGAGCCAGTGATTAACCCCACTCAAATTCATAATAACCGCATTAAACACCTCGCCTGGCTTTCATTTTACTCATCTTCAAACAGAAAATAAGTGGAGACGGACAGTAAGTAGCGCTTGAGAGCCTTGCGTTTACTGTCGCGTACCGAGGTGACTGGTGTTAGCGACCCAGTTCGCACTGCAGGCTCCGGAGACTGCAACGATCGGCTGGACGGAGGTTGCTAGCACCGATTCGCGCGCACTAGGCGCATAACCTGCGATTTATGGGAGATTCATCCATAAACTTTGGAAATGCTTCTTTCCTCGCTGTGTTTACTAATCGTTATTTATTGAATATTTTCCTGGAAGATTGATAAATATTAAATTGTACTCAATAAATGACATGCTTTCGATACGTGTAAATTTGCTTCGAATTGATATACATAAAACAATGACACATACATTACAGGTATTTTTGCGTATGAAACTGTTAGACCGCTAACTTTATTGCAATAAAATACTGCCAAGCGTTCTGTAAGCATAATAGTAATTTTACTTCCTAAACTAACCATCTTTTAAACAATACGATTCTTGGCAATGTTGCCTTACACCAGTCTTCATTTCGATCAACCACTGCATTTCCTTATGCAACTTTGCACCCTCGCAACGCTACACTTCCCCGCCTCAATTTGTAACCAATTTCGCTCTTGACTCAACTCACCCCTATTGTTCCGACGCCTGCCACGAGCGTTCCGTAATCGTCGTGTTCAGAGTTTTGCTGACCTGTGCCGCGTCACAGGTGCCTCAACAACTTTAGTCGAGCTTGTAACGCCAAGGCGGCATCTGGAGCTGACGTGTCTTTGAAGTGGGGAATGGTGGATGCAGGCGGTAGAGATGGATGGTTAAGGGCCGGGGTTTGCGTGGATGTCGATGACGATGAGTGGATGTCTAGGAAGACAAGAATATTTTAATGATAGGGAAAAGTAGAGATAAAAGTGCCAAGTGGTTGTAATGGGGACCTGTTTGTCGCGGAAAGATGATTAATTTTTTTTTTGACGTTTGGAGCTGAAAATATAAGCTCAGAGTCAAGGTCATCGCAATATTTTACATCGATCTTTTTTTAACTCTAAATAAGTTAGAAAAAAATGATGACGCTATTAACATGGTTGGACAGGTGCGCTCTCCGTAAATTATGATAAGACTGTTCAACTTTTTCATCGTGTTTTCAATGAACGTATGCTACAGGGAGTACTCCCATCAAACAAAACCTTTCATGTCGACAAGATCACTTCTGTCATTCATCATTTCACTTTTCACTTTCAACTTGCATCTTCTTCATGTCCCCACGACATCCGAAACCGATATCAAGATGCCAAATCACGGACCGTGACTCCTGGCCTAACCTCTCACGGCAGATAGCCAAAGCGACAGTACGTCTTGCGCCATCGGGATATCCACGATGCCGCTGGACAGTCCGATGTTAGATGGTTGTCAAGAGCTGAGACGACCGACCCCAGTCGTGCCGGGAGAGGACTTTCGGTTTCAGTTGACCCAGACGGCAGCTTGGAGGATGGCGGAGATGAATGTTTGAGGGTGGATTCGGGCTTTTTGTGTGTTTGATGCTAACAAAAAATTATAAATGTAAGAAAGTTACGTGTTCTGAGTAGCTTACAACCGCAGAGCCGTTTTGGCACATTGGAGCCTACTTGCGTTGGTCTACTTAGAATCATATCACCAACCACATGCTCGCAGTAGTCACATACTTTTTGCTGTTGGTATGCTAGTGGCAGAAGCTCCGCACGTGGGACCTTTTTAGTGGCCACCAAGAGGGTTTTTCAGAGCTATCGTGTCACGAGAGAAAACCGTGACTTGAAACCCATACTCCTCAATCTTATGGTCAGACACAACAACTTCCTGTAAATACTGCGTTGAAAAAAAAAATCCAGGGTGGGAGTGCTCCAGTTGTCTGTTACGGCTCACACTAAAATCAATATCCCACTCAGATTTATCTTATCATATTGCTCCGGCTAGAGCTCGGCGAGAGTCGGTGTTAGCCACCTCCTTCCAGCCGATTGTTGCAGTCTACGAGAACTTCAAGTTGGAATGGGCCGCTAACACCAGTCGTTTCTGCGCTGATCAATACGCGCATGCCTCTAATTATAGTTCGTTTTTTTTTAAAGGACGCTGGCTCCAAGTTCATTATCGAAGCTCTCACGTGAGTTTTGGCAGCTTCGGCATCTGGCCAACAATTTCTTACCGTGAAAATGATCGATTTCAAATTGTGCACGGTAAGTTCCTGGAAATTGTGTCCTTGAAAAATTAACAATCTAGGATGACTTCACTGGCGGCAGCAGGCACCCAATGTCCGTACGATGGGACAAAGTGTCGAAGAATTTGGGGTAAACTTTGTTTTTCACTGTTTCCGAGCTTATCATCGAGTAAGCCGTTCCGTCGATGGTATTTACACGTTACATTGCAATACAAGTTGGACAGCATGACGTCACCACTTTTCTAATATCTAGTCCCAAAAAGCACGTATGGAAATTACCGGGAAGAAATCACATGTTAAAATTAGTCGACGTTCGATTTTCTCAGGTTCAGTTTTTGCCCGTTTTGCTCGCTTAAACACGTGCTTATTCGAAAAACATACTTGGAGCCAATGTCCTTAAAAAAAAAAGAACTATATCTGTGCCCAGGAACCGGTCTGTCAAGATGTAATATTTGGTGATATGATATTGCAGTGCCGAGACACTTAACAATTTTCTAACACATGGAATGTACATAATAGGCAATAGGCGTGCGTTATCATGCATAAACAATCATGCCATTACTCATATTTCACCTTCATAACGCAACAAACACGCGCCCTTCACGCATTTCAGTTCCCTACCGTGTCATTTGCAGCTATACCGTCACCTGATCGGCCAACCCTGCCAGTCATCCCTCCAGCTGCAATAACGCTCCGTTTACCCCATCTCAGACCATCTGCTCCCGTTTACCCAATACCGGTGTGTGGGGTGGGCGGCGCAGGGGTGTGAGGCAGTGACCGGTCAGACCTCAGATGGGTGGCGGTTTGACACCTGGGGTGCCCGCCGCACAGGCGTGGGGAGGGGGAAGCGGAGGGGTGCGGGTAGCGCTCCGTGGAACAATTGGTGTTGGTATGGCGTAGTTATGCCATGGGATGGAGGGATTCGAGACTATTATCAGATGTTGCGTTTGTGTGGCTGAGATTGTTCGTGACTACGTTCTGAGTGGCAATGTTTAGTCAGAAGAAAAGTCATGAGTTTACGGTGCATTTTTTTCTTCTTTTCTGTCATCTAGCCGATGAGATGAAAACATGTTACCTGATTTGGTAGTCTGAGACCGGTCAAATTTGTCAATGAAATTGTTGTTTATTTTCTCAATTTTCAATCATCCTTGAGAACCTTCGTCCAATCACATCACATCTTAGGAGCGGTATGATTGAGTGAAAGCGCTCCCAACTTCCCGAAAAACACTCGGACATCAATGAAACGCATACGGCCTCGCAATAGATCGATTTAACTCGAGAGAGAGGAAGGGGATCTCACTCGGCGTTGCTATGGCAACCCGTCACAATCTGCACATCATCTCTTTGTGAATAGACGGGACCGGGCTGGCCCGCTGAGGCAGTGGGGACCGAGTTGCCTCACCGAGCAAATAGAATGCCGAGAGGAGACTGCGGGGATGCTGCCAGTGGTGGGGTCGTGCCGAAACATTCACTTCCGCTCACTGCAGTCTGGCTGTCAGCGAGGGTCAGCGCGGCTGCTGCAGTGGGTTCATGATGGTTTTGTGATCAGAACAAGGTAGGCGTACCTATGTATATGCGGCACTTAGTTCTTTTCAAGCTTTGTTAGGCTTTACTTCTTTTTCGGCTTGAAGTGAACGATCCTCATGGAAACGTACATAAATGATGGGTGAAAATGCGCACGAAGCTGGTAATAAATAGGAGCCAATCTTGGACTTTCTTCTAACTAAGTACCAACGCCACAAGTATCTAATTGTCGCCATCTTGATCATACGAAATGACAGCAAATTTTTCATGCTATGATGTCGTCAAACAATATTGCATTGTCCCCCCTGCTAATGCATTCAGCATCTGTATACATAAGCACACACAAGTAGCCGCTCACGTCTCATAACAAGCCGTTATCTTTTCACTCAGCACAAAACAATGTGACATGAACGATCTAAACAAAGCAGAAGCTCTGTACTAAACGCTTTCAAGAGAGACATACTGTTGCGCTAGAAAGGCATACCATCTTCT